AGAGTTAACTGTAACCCTACTTTTGGCCCACCCTGTATATATACATATGTTCATATTCTATTAAAGTTGCAGTTATGAGCAAGACCACATATAACCCAGTTGTGTGTGCAGGTGGGAGAGATTCCAATGCAAGTACTTGTTGGAAATTCATTTTAATTCTAACAAGTAAAATTCAAATCGGGTTGTTTTTACCTTAGACATACTGCAAACCAGAATACTCACACTGAAATAGGAGGTGAGAACTGGTGAAAGTGAAAATAAAACAAATGGTAATAACTTATAAATGACAGGAAGAGAATGATCTATGCTACAATAACGATGTAGTCAAGCAGCGTCAGAATAGAAGATCCAAAAAAGAAAGATTTGAAAAACCATATTTGAGAGAAAATGAGTGGAGTGGACCACCCTTATGGTAAGGTTGGGCCTAAGGACACTTAGATATAAGGCACTCTTTTAAGAAGGGTACACCTTCACCTTTTAGTTCATACAAAAAAAAGGGGTTAGTTAGAGCAGGTATGACTTACTGTACCTGTGGAACCAATGATGGGAACACAGGTGGTGACATAAACAGGGAGGAGGAATACTATTTCTTGCTCCTTTTATGAAAGGTTCTCAATGGAGCAGCCCAGTTAAATATTATGATTGGACATACTCCAGGGGATGTAGACCTCTCCATTTGTATCTATAGAAAGGCCAACTACTGAGTCACAAAACTGGCCAAATTAGTGGGCACTGAATAAAGAATCATGTTATTCCAAGGGTTGTATTCAATACATTAAGGATAGTGTAAGAAGAACATCCAAAATAAATTACTATAATAATATAAAAACATAGGTAATTCCCATCCTTGTTAGAGCTGAAGCATTTGAGACTTTTTAAAATATTCTGTTCATGCAGTATAGTCAGACACTCTCCTATGTGAAATGAGTAACATAACAAAATACACCTTCAGTGAAAAATGGAAGAACGGGCAAGTTGCTAAAGGTTCAAAAGGAGGAGAAATGAGACATAACAACACATCACCCAAGTCCCATTTGAGACAATGGCTAGGGATTTAAAGATGAAGTAAACAGAAAGTTAGAAAAAGATCAAGAAAAAAATGGAGACAAGAATGGATGATGACTTCTGTGGTATCAAAGGTGGTAGAGAGGGTAGCTCTGTAGTCTGCAATAGAAGAAACAAACAAGCCACTGTCATGAAATAACGACATGAAAACTGAAGCAACCTGTGAAAGTAAGAAATAAACTTTCTAAGACATCATCTCCTAAAAACAGTGTAATGAGATTGGTAGAAAACAGGGAAGAATAGCTGCAAAAATTTGCCAACATTTGAGCCACTCAAGAAGAGAATCTAGCTTTACTAAAGGACTGCATACCAGCCAGCTTTGAAATTGCAAACAATAGACGTTGTTGTGGATGATGAATATAGGAGGCTGGCACAGAAGAGTGCTTTCAAATTAGTGGAATAAGATACCTTAAGATAGACAACATAACAAAAACAGTTGTGCTGGCCAGTGTAGAGAAATAAGCAGAATTCAACAATTGGATGAACTAATTTTGGCTAATGCCTAAGAAAAAATACAAAAAAAAAGGAGGGTAGGCAGAGAAAACAAATTCTCTCATAAATGGCTCAAATCATCCACTGTAATACAAGTGGAAAGAACTGGAACAACACTTAAAGTGGAAGAAGATTGTCTGCCATTTCAAATGCATGGATCAATAGGATGACCAAATTGTTGGCACAACCAATGAAAAGCTTCTCTGTAGGGAGAAGCTGATGATTCCTGGGCAGAGAATCTACAAGAATTCAAAATGATGTCAAAACCTTGTTGAAACATTGTACATTTGCTGTTATGTTAAACTTATATTAACGTTTTTCTTCATCACCCATTCAAGCTGTCTCCAAGCATTATTAATCTACAAGAATGTTCATAACATCTGGCACATAACAGGCTCAGATGCATACAATGTGAATGGAGTCAAAGATGAAGATAGACCACAGCAAAGGCTGTAAGGCCTAGTTCCTTCCTAATTGTTTATGTACATAACAATTGGAAAATTATCAGTGTAAATTAAAACACAGTGGTAGGGTAGCAAGGTTAGGAACACTGAACAACCAAAAGCTGTAAGAGACTGATACACTGATTTTGGAGGAAACCTGAAATCCAGATACTGGCAAGTCAAGCTAGATGATAGGATTAAACCTCAGACTGCTTTTGGCTTGTACAAGTTTTGCACCATGACATTTGACCCGTGTAATACATCCACCACTTTCAAGAGGCTAATGGAGCTTACACCGAAGGGGCTGCAATGGAAGAAGAGCCTGATTTGTGTTGATGACTGGAAATGGACAATTTAATTTATTACCTATGAATAACAATTACATTGATTAATGTCACAGAAGCTGTTCAATTAATCAAAATTAATACTGTTTTTGATTATTCCAACAACTGATTAATCGATATTATGATTCTTTGACTGTCACAAAAATAATCAAATAATTGAAATTAGTGTTTAAAATTATTACTATATTCAATTATTCCAACAACTGATTAACCTAAGTTCAGTATATATCAAGCGTCACAAAAATAATCAAATAATTGAAATTAGTAGTTTCCAATGATTACAATTTTTTATTATTCCAAGAACTGAATTATTGAAATTACTATTAAATACATTTTTACCACTTACTCTTTTTCACTTGAATTAAACCTCAATATACATAAATAAAAAGTAATGATTACAAGCATTAGGTTGGTATATAATTATATATTTCAATAAATACTAGATGATGTACTGGACCCACCAGAAGTGACTGATAAATTTAAAACATTAATGTCAAAATAAATTCTATATCTATCTAAGCTGCAGTCATCCCTCGTTGGATATAACTCTCTGTCCTACCAGCCCAGTCCAGTATTTTCTATTTTTAACATACTGTGTCCATCTAAGAGGTTTAGCATAAGTCCATAATTGGTATCTTGACCAAATCACCTGTTATGAAGTAGACTTACCCCATTGCTCTAAATTTAATTCAGTTTTACCTGGATATACAATAATAGCTAATATATACTCTGAAAAAAAAAGTCTCAAAATGTGTCAAACCATAGCATGTAAGGTAGGAACTGGAAATGGATGTAGAACTCCCCCCTGTTACAAAACAATTTTCAAAGGTTCAAGAACTGGAGAAGGAGATTAACAATCAGTTGGTTTCTTAAAATATTAGAAATGACCAAAAATCAAGAGAAAGTGGAAAAGGAATATTTTCAAAAACTGAATCATCCAACATGATATTAGCATTCTCAGGCATGAAAAACAGCTCAAGGTTTAAAACAGAGCATATCCAAGGACAAAAAAAAAGAAATAGGACCAGCAAACACTTCTACAGAGTAAGGGCTAGCTAACACATCTTGCTTTTCAGACAATAAATGTGAATAGGTCAAAGAAATATCTTTTTAAAACTTGTGTTTATGTAATTAGAATAGTGAGGATGATCCAACATTGAGTGATCACACAAGTGTAAAAACCTCACATGAACACCAGCAGAAAGAGCCTGAATACATTGATCAATGAGGACCACCAATACAGGCATGGGATGTCCTTGCATACTAAAGGAAGACAACATGAGTAAGACCTTCAATGAAGTTTTAAGGTTTCTAATATTGTTAGAAACATTTGCAGCAGTAGATAACATGGAATCAGAATTCAGTGATAGAGGCTTAGAACTCAAATGTAAAAAAAAAAATTCTGATTTATGATGGAAAAGCAGAGTTTATGGAAGATCTGAAATGTGCACAATAAATCACAGATGGTGAGAAACTGGAAAATTATTTGTAAGTGATGCTTTCTCTTCAAAGCATAAAGGACTCAGAATTCTTAGTGATATGTTTGTTGACAGCATGAGAGTAATTTCAACAAGGAAAGGCCTAAAATAGTTCAGAGGTAAGACTACCTGACTTAAAACATTATTTAAGTTGAATTTGTTGAATAGTAACTTAATGAGCTGTGGCTGAGCTAAAGAGTATTTTGCAAAGAATATCAACAAGTAAAAAGTAATCCAAGTTGCAAAATTAGGCTTAACAAGAAATAATTATCTTGGGCATACCTTCGATTTAGCTCTAAAAATATTCTGAAAGCAAGATAAAATCAATTTTACTAATATATATTTTATTACTTTTGTTTAAACACATAGAATTTAAACTAAATATAAGAAAATTACTTCTCTGGTTTTTCTTCTCTCAAGTCAATTTGAAAAACAACACTGTCTTCTCCACAACTTAAGAAGGTATGAGGCATATCCATTTCTAATGCAAGCTATTTATATACACAAAAAGTACAAAAATAAGCTATTTTATAGGTTTTGTGTAATTACTGTAAACAAATATACAACTAAAAATTCAGCTAAAATTAACTGTGAAAGAAAAATAAACAATTAAAAACTTAATGTTTGCAAAAATTAAAAAGGCAAATAATAATTATCTATACATAAATATCAATAAAGCACAAAAGTATAGTGAACTTCAGGTTGGTATTTACTCTCTCATATACCCTAAATTGGACCTTAATGATTTGAAGAAAACTTGTGATTGCCAGCCTGAAGTCATCCTTTAACTTTTAGTGTAATATATTCTTAAAGCATACTTTATCTAAAGTTTTGTCTTACATTAGAGCACTTCTTAAAATGACTTTAGCTTGGAATGACCATATTACTTTATGCCATGATATAAAAGACTATTTAGTTTAGATATTATTGATTAATTTATTTTTGTGAGTGAATATTTTATTATTGTTTCGTTTTTGTTATAATAAAGAGTTAAAAGCAGATGATTGTAGGAAGTTTTGTTAATAATTCATTGATGTTGAGACTATTGAACGTCACATGTAATACACTGAAGTTGAAAATGGAGAAGGCGGGCAGACGACAGTGATAGACATACACATAGTGTGAGACGAGTGTAAACAGCAGACAGATAATAGTAAAAAAGAGTAAAGTTACAGACACGGAAAGTTTGGCGTGAAGTTAACTACCATAGAAGTGACTTACTTAACATATTAAACGTTAGGCCTACGTCAGTTATTAGGCCTAACTAATAGTAGAAAATGAGATAAAAATATTTCTATCAAAGCATGGTTCTACAGTAACTGAATCAGCCTGAGTACACTTTGATAAAAGGAACAGAGGGTCTTCAGAAGAAAGAAGACCAAATTATTATGGTAACTTGTGCCACAATTGGAAGTGAATCACACACAGAATACTAGTGCAATAGTAATAGAGAAGATAGTTTAGCTTGTCAACTGAAATTCTAAAGTTATTGAATAGTCCTAAGTGGACTTTTGACAAGAAGAAAACTACATATATATAGCATTTATGATATGCCTATTATCTCTTTTGTGTGAAAAATTTGTTGTGGATACATTTTAACTTGTTCCGAATATATATATATATATTATTTTGAAAACAAGTGAAGTGCATGCTGTTCATTTATCATTGAATGTATCACCAAGTCACAGACACCTACTGTATAAGAATCCTAAGCCCAACAAGAACACACTATATATTTACACTATTAAGAAGTATAAGAAAAAGCCTTTTTATTTCGACAATTGAAGAGAAAGAAGTATATATTTTATATTTTGACACTTTATTTCTAATAAAAGTACTCAAGTACATGATAATATTAATAACTTACAGTATGCTATATACTTAGGGCAAAACTCAAAAATCAACCTGATCATTAGAATACTAATAATACTTTTATGTTTCTACTTACAAAGGTTAGAATGCATTTTTTCATCAGTTGAAAATCCTCAAAGTTAGTGATATTTTGAGAATGGAATACTAACTATTTTAAAATAATTAGTACAAACTAGTAAATATTTTGAATAATCACATAATAAGATGCAATGTACTGGATATATTTCATTTATAGTAATCATTTGTTTAGACATGTTTTCCTGAATGCAAGTTTCAACAACTACATACATGCATGATAAATAGGTCATGTCTTAAGCCCATCCATCCTGCAATCACATTTAACAGCTGGTACAGGCTCAAATTTCTTTAATACATATGCTTATAAATTAACTTTGAACAGCAAAGTATCAAAAAAAATCATTTTAACATAAAAGTTGTAACATTAATATTAATATACAATAGTACTTGTTTAAAAATGTGCATCTATCTTTCTACCTTGTCTATCAAAAATCATTAAACTTTAAGTAGTATGTTTAAACACCTACTAAAACAAAGAAAGTATTCTATGTTTTTGAAATATTTATCATAAAGTAGTCCAATTATTATTATTTTTTAAAAATTCCAGTGCTGCCTGAAGGATGTAAACCATTTGCAATGACAAACAACTTCTGATAAATGATTTTTTTTTATTTTATTCTATCCAGTGTTGACTTGTGCCTTTTTCAAGGGACTATGAATGTCACAAGTTACAAAATTAATTGTAAATTATAGTAACCAAACAGAATATAAAACTACAACAATATAATCAAATGGTTCATGGAGAAACATACTAAAATAAAAATATTGTTGAGCAGGTAATCTTAAATACATGATTGTTCCATAGAACACATTCATGCTTCTGCAAATCTTGACAGCAAAGAAGCCACTGCTGAACATTACAACAATGCACACAGCATAGTTAACAAGACACCTTATCAGATCAAAATTTTAAAGAGTTGTGACAATTTTCTTGACAGGAAATTTTAGGTATCTCTTTTGACTCAATCCAAACACCCTTCCATTAACAGATACAAAGCCTGGCCCCTATAATACTAGTATTATTTTATTTTAGTTTTTATGTATTTATTTCTTTACTTAAACATTGAATTTCATGATCTACAACTCTAACCCATTTAACAATACATTTAGCACACTTCACTGTACAGCATTTTTTGTTGTTGTTGTAGTTTTACATTCCTTTTGGTTATTATGATTTAAAATTAGTTTTATAGACCCTTGAAAAAGCATAAGCCAAAACATCAGTAGAATAAAAAATAACATTTATCTTAACTTGTTTGTCATCTTTAAGTCCAATTATTATCATAATAGAAAGAAAATGTCTGACAACACTACTCATCATTAGTGGAGCTATGTGAATAAAAGTATATATTGAAAATAACTACAATTACCACCAGGAATGCACATGTTAAAAACAACAGGTGTACCTTATGAGCTGCTCCTCTATGTTGTCCCAGTTTTCTTGTTCCTTTACAAACACCTGTGGAAGAAAGTTCAGCAAGACGAACCTGACCATCTCGAGCACAGCTGACAAGATAGCTGTCTCCACTAAAGGGCATGAACTTGGCCTATTGACAAAAAGTTAAACTTTTTATCTAGAATTTATGTCAGAAACCCATTTCCTATTTACAGTATTTTAAGGACAATATGATATTTTATATTTAGAACTTTTATTGTTGTTGGCAGTTGAATACTGTTTATTTAGTTTGACAAATGGTATATACATATATAAAGACAGAAGTACACTGTAACAAACTTCTAAAGAAATAATAATGACATCTATTATACATTCTATGCAAATGCCATCCCAAACTTAAAACTATAGCTTACATTTATTTTTCTAAAAAAGTGAAGTGATGAGATATCTGTTTCTAATCTGCATGCATGGATTTATCTTACAATTTTATTGTGAAAAATATATGTGTCAGTTACTTAGGGTAAAAACATTCCTGCACCAAAAGTTGTATACATGTAAAACTTACACTCTGAATTGACATAACAATCACTAAAGTTTATGAAAAACGATGTGCGTGTGCAAAACATTGCAAAAGATGTGTTACTTTTTGAATTTTAAGTAAATGAGAAGACATAAAGTAAAACTCCTTTTTTTAATAATTCTTGACAATCACATTGTTTATGACCATTTGGTTAATTTTTCATTCCCCTGTTGCATTTACATCATGGTCACCCTATTTGATCATTAACAAATGCCCAAGTTGAATGCAAACCAATCTGCTTTGCTCTTTTAGGGTAACATTAAATCTCACCCTAATTTGTTACAAATGGTTTTAAAGTTCATTTTTACTGTTTTTAAATAAGAAGAAGGTAAGTTCAATCAATAATATGATACCTCTTCTTATTTTCAAGTACAACAGTTAGGATTAAAAAAATAATTTTGCATTAAAATAAAAGGTTCCAAGTTCAAAAGTTCCAAAACAAGCTGAAAATAGGAAGATTAGTTTCTCCTGAGAATAATCAATTTGTTGGATGAAATCGATTAATGAACCCTATGATTAAAAGATTATCAGGTTCCACTAATCATCCAGCTTTAAATGTCATGTGATGAACACACAGCTAATTGATTAGAAATTTCTAGAAAGCATGAGAAACAATTTGTAACAATATAATGATTATTAGTTATTCTGCTAGTGTTCCTGATCAACTAATGAGTTAACACATATATGCTAGTTAGTTTGTTAGCCAGTTTTTCACCTTACCTTCAAAAAAACTTGCAAGTAAGTGACTGGTTAGCTCTATTGGTAAGTTAGGCCTATCATCAGTTTTGTTTCCGTTTAAACCTTAGCTGTGAAGTTTGGCCTGCTAATAATTGTAACTGGTAGTTGAAATAGTAATAAAACTGGATTTTTATTATTTTATTTTTAGCATATAATAAAAAACATGCATACTGATAGAAACTGTCAACGCAAGTTTCTTGGTAAATGCAGTAATAGGGAGAATAGCTTTCTATTATCTGTTGACTAATTGTACTAAAATTGCAGTGGAGTTGGCGTGTGGAAACAATTTGACACATATGTTCTTCTTATACATTATTATATTAGAGGTTGTTGAAAGCCTGTGAAAAGAAATTATGCTGACCACCTGTTCAACTAATTGCGATAAACAGAAGGTACAGGACCTCCACAACATGAATTTTGGAAGACTCAGAACACTGCATGCTAAATGTTGTTTTAACCACACAACTTTGTCACATTGTAATACACTACATGTTCTCAAACAAGTAATTTGGATTGGACATGTATTTACTGTTTATCTTCCTTACTTGTATATGTGCTTTGTAATGTTGAGCAGTGCCAATGTATTCTAAATATCAAGTAGTTATGATAATAGCTGAATGAACATATCTCGTTATGCTGATGGTAGAGATTTACTAACAAAGGTTGTGGTTTACTTTTGTTCTCATTATAAGCAAACCGCAAGGATTCAAAAGGCAACTGATATTTTTAAGCCCATGTCAAAATTTTATTAAAAAACAAACAAACACTAACATTTGTTTTTACAGTCACAGCATTGAAATAGAGTTGGTCAAAAATGAAAAAAAAATTATTTTTAGGGCTTTGCATTGGATGTCCAGAGGACTAGCTTACACTTGTTCAATTTTGGGCATCTAAATAAAACTTTTGATCATATAATACATCAGGATGCCTACTAATGGAAACACTGTTATACTACATTTTCTTACTTAAAATTCCAAGACAGTGGTGCACAAAGCTTGAACATTAATTTTAGCAGAAGAGAAAAACAGCCTTAAACTAATGGAATGAGAGTATAAGGGCATACACTAAGGTATATACATGTATCTCAATTCTGAAAATTACACAATATTCTTGTATGTATTGAACATTGTTTGAACTCTAAAGATTTTTACATTGGATATAAATAGTGTCAATTATCTAATAAAACTAGCACTGTAACTCTTGCTATCCCCCCACATGTTTATAAATCAAAACAAGAGGAAATGTTCAGATAGTACCATAAATATATTAACACAGTGAATATATATATGTAAAATTGTTTTTTCTATCAAATACTGATGAAAATCTACATGTTGTCCTCTATTTGTCTAATTGATACACAGGTTCAGAGATAACTGACTGATTTTAATGTTAAAATTTTTGTCACCTGAAAATGTATTTCGGACAAACACTCGCCTCTCTGCATAATATAAAGCAGGCATCGAGTGGAGTAATGGGAGAACCCTAGCTTTCTCAGTCTCATGCTTCTAAATATGGAGAGTTCTCCATTGGGTTGTTGTAATCTAACTGGTATGAGATTAAGTGGGAGAACCCTAGCTTTCTCAGTCTCATGCTTCTAAATATGGAGAGTTCTCCATTGGGTTGTTGTAATATAACTGGTATGTGATTAAGTGGGAGAACTCTAGCTTTCTCAGTCTCATGCTTCTAAATATGGAGAGTTCTCCATTGGGTTGTTGTAATCTAACTGGTATGAGATTAAGTGGTTGCATTCCTCAATGGGAAGTAGGGTTGGGGTGTTACTTTAAGGTGTAGATCAGGCCACCCCACTACACTGTGAACCAAGCCATACCCAGTAGTTAGGCTAAACAGATGTGTCTTGTGTTCTCATAATGGAAGTCTGGGATATTTCTGCCTTGCACCTGACTAGAGTAGTAAGTATCTCACATATTTCTCCAATATGGTATAGTCTGACGTATCTAACTGCCTGAGAGACAATGGTCAATTGAGCAATCTTATGTTCTGCACACATATGCAAAAACTAGCAACATGTGAATGATTCTTTTGACATTATCTTTTATTCTAACAACTGTAATGGGCTAAGAGAATGATGCATTCTCACAATGAATGATGTCCCACTAGGCTTCCCCTCTCAGTGGGTGACATGCTTCGTAGGTTTTCCTTTTCTAATGTTATTATTTCAGAAAGGAGCTACTCTGCCATTTTATTATCTTAAATGGCACCTCCACCATCTTATCAACATGGGATTCTAGCTCTGTTGTGCAGAGAGACAAGTATTTATGTATCTGAAGTTAAAATTTTCCTTCCCTGAAAAGGTATTTCAGATAGATACCTCTCTGCACAGCAAAGAGCTATTATCTTGTACAGAATTTTACACATGGTACAAGCCTTGAATGAAGCTCCTACCCTTAAATTAATGTGTACGACACCGGACTGTTATATCATCATTACACATATCTTTTATGTACAGTAATCCCCATTAGCACTAGCATTAGGACAAAGGCTCATTCTTTAAGAGGCAAAAGAAATAATACACCAGGAGTTGGGAGGAAGTGGGTGGTTGTGAAGAGGGGAGTATCTATCTTAAATAGATTTTTCTTCACTGAAATTGCCTTGTTTTGTCTCATTTTAGACTAAAGTTTGATCACATATGTTTCTCTTCAGAAACAAACAGTACTTAAAATACGACATTGCATGATCTTTCCTTTGTGGGATTTTGAATGTTTATGCAGTCTTTATAGACAACCAATTTTGAAAGATCACATTAGTATTATTATTAATATTTTTTTAACCACAAATTTACTGTAACTATAACCATTTAACCAGGACACTTATTCATGAATCAAAACATTGAAGGGATTTTGAAACACTGCCACACTTGGCAGTTAGAGCTGAGCAACTAAATTAATTAGTGTCACATAAACTAATCTATTAATCAAAATTACTATTAAATAGATTAATCTAAATTAGTACTTCCAATTACTCCAGGATTTGATTAATTGAAATTCTTATTATATCAATTGTCACATAAATAATCACCTAAACAAAACTAGTGTTTCCAATTGCTTCAGGAATCAATTAATCAAAATTACAATTAAGTCAACTGTCATGGAAATAATCAACTAATCAAAATTAGGGTTTCCACTTATTAGTATTTTTGATTATCCTGTATATCCAAGTAACAAAAATATTGCCACAAAACTTGCTCACCCCAGGCTATCTTTCACTGTCACCAGTTTGGAACTACTGATTTGAGGGAATAAAACTGGCTGGCAGAACATGCTGCCAATTCTTTTTTTTTTTTTGCTTATAGTCACCATAGTTTCAAGAACATTGTACTAATCAATTAATAAAATGTAATTAACTAATAGGACTGTCAATCAATTGATTAGCAAACACCACTAGTTACCCAGCTTTACTTATAACCAGTAACTAGCCATCTCCACTTTTCCCTGACCTTAGTAACAAAGTGTGGCACAGTTTCCTCTCTGCTTGATGATTTGTCAATCCACACAGTAGGTACAGCACTACCTGGTACTATTTGTAGCTATAGGTTGTATTGGCTGTTGATCCTGTATTCAGAGAGTCATCCAACATATTGCTGTATTCAACTAGGCTTCAGGTAGTTTAATACTGGGACTGATCTTACCAATAGATTTGTCCTTGTCTCAGAATTGAAACCTTGTACATGTAATAAAACTAATTAAGCCAACTCAAACATTAGATCTATAATTAATGAAGTGGTAGTTATGCACTTATATTTACAATTCAACTCACAGTGACTAAAATTACTATTAAATCTGTAAATAAGAAACATATAACTAATGGACAGTGAC